TCTGCATGCTGTAGGCCTATTACATACTGTTCAGGACAAACTCTGGAATTTCTTTTTGGCATCCTAGAAGGAACAGACATTCAAGTATTAACAACTGAATCTTGGAGATTGCTGTTGCCATTTTAGGATATTACCAAATGCAGGCTGTCTGCCCTGTCTTTATTGGAAGCTTCAATACCTGGTTCTAGTAGGAAATGCGGTCCCTCTCTACAACTGCTTTCCAGAGCCGAAAACATGACTGTCAGGGATATGAGTTAGGGATAAACTGATATATCTGGCTCAGGTAAGGAAAGCCATACCTAGCACACAGGCTTAGTTACAAGCCAGATACTGACATGGAGAGTGCTGAAGGTATATTCAAAGAATGCCCAATGTGTAGAGATACCCAAACTCACTGTGATAAGCTGCAAGGACTGAGCAGCTGTGCTGCAGGAACACTATCAAATGGTAGCTGCCTTCAGAAGTGCAGGGTAGACAGCAGCGATGGTTACTTGTAAAAGTACCGGAGCCATAAGATTGTCAGGCTGAAAAATTGTCTCAGGCCGAAAAAGAAATTAAAGCATGTCATGTCCCTGATCTCTGACAATTAAGAAGAGACCAATACACCAGCAGGTGTGGTGAACACCATATTTTGCGTACTATCTGATCTTCAGCCTTGCTTATAACATGTCCAAAAAGGCCTTTTACAGCATTGTACTGTTGGATACAAACAGACACTGAAACATTCCTTCCTATGACTAGAAATAGAATTCATATAGAAAACCCCAACCAACCAACCAAAATTATATTAATATAAAGATTTATAGTATAATTAAAATAAAATATTTTTATATAAAGAACAATAGCTTATAACTGAAATGATTCTCGGGTGAATCCCAGTACTGTTTCCTAACTGTATGGGAAGGTGGTGTTTGAACCAAAGGCTTTGGAGTGAAAGATTTGAAAAAGGCAATCCCAGAAATGCCTTCTTAAGCCAGTTTGTATCCTGTGAAAACACTGTAAATGAAACAAACACATTTTGGTAGCCCATCTAATGTCAATAATGTAGCGCCCATGTTGGAATTCATACTTATTTAGTTCTATAATACACTGAGGTTTATGGCTCATATGTCACTATGTGTATGTACACTACTTCTCTTCCCACTCATGAATATGTAACTGCAGCATATATTTGCATAAAACATACGTTTTATTAACATTTATGTATTTATATAATCTTTTAATGCAGTATAACAGTGGGAAGTTAAGAGTTCTGGCAATGTATTACCAGTCACAACTCTGCAGAACTCCACCTAATACTTTGAAGAATATTAGGAATCCTGGAACCAGATTTTCAAGATAAATGTGTGTAAATTTGATTTAACATTTATTAATGTACAGAAAAGACATATAAAAATAAAAGGAGTAGAATACACAATTTTAAATAAACTTATTAAATTTTACCTCTATTTAATAAGCAAAATTTGTTTTACTGGAATAGATAAGGACATTTATTTGTGTGTGAGTCTATAGAATCTTTGCCAACATTAACAACTGTGAGCTTAGCTTGATAATAACCAGGCAAAGATTATTAAAAAAAGAAAATCAGTTGTTCCAGCTGCCTGGCCTGTGTACAATCAGGCTTTCATGAAAAATCTGGGGACTGGTTTGACAGAACCAGAAAGCAGCTGTTCTCAACAGCACACTTCCGCTCAGAAACTACAGCTGAGTGAGAATTAATGCTTCTTTTCACATTAGTACACTCTTTCAATGGTCCTTGTGGCAGCTGTTGCTGTGCTTCCCCTAACACTCAAACTGGAGTTGTACTAGGACTGCCCACAACAACTGACAAAACATTCAGTAGGCGAAAGTCCTGAAATTTCAGGGAACTGGTCTAGGTAAATCATGTGTTGTTTTTATGGTCCTTGTCCTTTCAATATCGTACTTCCTGGAGCAGGAAGATAATACTTTGGTCCTACATCCCAGCTGTCTATCTCAGAAGAAGTTGTCTATCTTATACTTGGAGGAACTGGCCTCTGTGGAAATAGAAATAAACTTTTGGAGTTTCTTCCTTTTACTATGCAATAAGAGATTAATGACTGGAGGTATATTTGCAGCTTTACCACTTTGCTAATAATTACTGTGAGAAAGTAATTTTATACATGGTACTACAATTTCTCCACATGTGGCATAGGAATAATTAAACTTACCTTCTTCGTGGAACATCATGAAGTCTGTGTGGGAAGCTGGAAGCTGAAATTATTTTAAGACTATTGGGAAGACATTGAGGAACATAGCTTATATGGTTTTACATCAACCATCACATCTTTAATATCTAGTTTGAACTGGCATGTGGCAGTTGTGTCAGCCACTGAGATTACAGCCCAGATATACTGTTCATATATACAGTAGCTTTTCAACAGATATACTGTTTATATATACAGTCATGGAAATCCAACAGTCTTACCCTGTCATTTTCCACATGCTTTTCAGGAAGCACGACAGAGCAAAGTTTTTCTGTTTTTTGCAGAGGTGTTTGGGGGAGTGCTGAATCCTACATTACTTGAACTGACTTCTTCAGAGCATTTACTATCAAGAGAGCTCCATAAACTTCAGCTCCTAATTAAAATAAATCTTCCACGTGCTCCTAAAGTAAAAGTCAGCCTTAATTACTAAAATCAACCTCCGACTATTCATATTTGATTGTACTTTCAAAAATGCTTTTATAACAAGGTCAGAGCATCCTAAAAAGAGATGCTTTGACCTATTTTTGGAACATTTGGGAAATCTGGAAATGTTGTTGGAGCCCACTAGATGTCACTGCCACCACACAATAGACTACTGCAGAAATGTTGCCGTCACTGTCTTTGCAGGATACATACTTCTGTGTAAGGCAGCAAGTGTCTAAGAATTGCTGGAGGAAATACGTTGTGGTCAGTATTGCACCAAGCAGTGCATACAGGGATGAGGAAGGAACAGTGTATTAAAAGGGTCACAGCAAATCTGCAGCTTTTGTGATAGCAGGCTATTGCCAAAATTAACCAAGGAACAAAGAAAGACATTGGAGTCTCGAATTTCTGACATGGAAATGAAAGGTTCAGTTATACCTTTAGAGCAGATGAAGTCATGAGCTGTGACAAACACTGAACAGAGTTCTTGGAGTATCTAAAGAAGCTTCTCTCCACCATATCTCTTTTAATAAGACCTGTAATTATGTCATTGTGGAAGTGTGTGTCATATTTACTCTAAAAATTTTCCACTCTGTGGATTATTCCACTGTCATTAAAATGTGGGCTTGAGGACTGAAACTTGTAATTCGTTCTTTGTTTGCCATATACAGGGTGCAATGCTACTTATCATGCTAATTAGCCCTCACCGATGGATAGTTTGTGCTTTATATTTTATAAGCCATCACCAAATTTTTAGAAATTGCAACAATTTATTCTTTTCTTTTAAAAATAAGTCAATCTTATATCAAGTTCTGCCTGAGGTGACTAAACGATACCAAAGCCACAGCTCATAACTGCAGTGCCAAAGCAAAGGCGTGTTGGAGATGGTGAATTCTCAGTTCCGGGCTCTGGGTCCTATAGAGAACAAAGCGTTAGGCCTTTTGCACGAGCAAAGACAAAATGTCCCTTCGAATTCAGGTACAGCTCTAGAATGGATGATGGAGTGATTTCATGTCTGCTGGTATTACAGAGGTTGACATTTAGCATTTTATTTTTATTTTTATCACTGGGCGCACATGACTAGATAATATTCTCCAAAGAGTGTATAGAGTGAATAACTGCGCTCTGAAATTCCATTGCCAGCAATAGAAGAAAATACAAACACACTGGCATGTTTAAAAATTATGCCAAACGATATGTTTTATTTTGATTTTGATTATTTGTCTCAAGCTTTCTTTTAATATAATTTGCTAATGCTGATATTTACTTGGCACATTAAAAAGTAACATTTCTCTCAGTACGACTTTTTCTAAACAAAACTTGCAAATTATAATTACATATGGTCATATGTGTCTACGTACATGTCTCTATGTATGTACATATGCATCTGTACAAGTGATCATATTTATATTACATGATCATTCTGTTTTGCACACTTCATTATCTGAAAGTGATCTTTCCATACGTCTATAGCAGTGTCTCAGATATTCACCGAAGTGCCGCCTCAAGTGTCAATAGTGCTTTCCCCTGTGATGTGATGCAAGAGTAATTGTTTCATTCTTCAGCAGAACGTGTTATTTAAAAATACGTGGCTTTCTTATAATATTTGACAATGTATTGCCAAAAAAACCCAGCTTCATATACAGTCAGGTTACGTGAATAATTGGTGTTTAGCCTCCGACAAAAAAGTGTAAAAATTAATGGAGAAAGAAATGAACTAGAGGCTCCAAAGCTCCCCAGAGGTCTCCACGTTTCTTGTCCATCTGGGTCTGACAGTCACCTGCTGTGTGCGCACGGACACCGCCACCAGCCGGTGACGGCACAGCCGCTTCCCGAGGCACCTGTGAATCCCAACCGCACGCACCGCTTCTCTCGGGGAAGGGGCGATGCCGCCTCCCCAGGCCCGCGGAGATCGCCGTCCCTAAGCGGGAGCGGTGGGTGTTTTCGGGGAGCGTCGGGCAAGGCCGGCTCACGGAGGGACCGGCACGGCAACGGCAACGGCAACGGCAACGGCAACGGCAACGGCAACGGCTGTGGCTGCGGCTGCGGCGCGTTACTGCGGCAACGGCTCCCGGCGGGCGACCGCGGTGAGGGGCGGCGGGCGCAGGTGGGGACGACGGGGACGGGGAGTGACCCGCGGGAGGGGCGCTGAGGGAGCACTGCCCCACAGGAGCCGTGCTGAGGGGCACTGTCCCGCAGGAGCCGTGCTGAGGGGCACTGTCCCACAGGAGCCGTGCTGAGGGGCACTGTCCCGCGGGAGAGGTGCTGAGGGGGCGCTGCTCAGCGGGCGGGGTCCTGAAGGAGGGATCACCCTGGGACACCCCAGGAGCAGGAGCCGCAGGCGGTGGGTACAGGGGCGTTTGACGAGGAGAGAGAGCCCGAGGCTGGGCTCGGGGCGGGGGCCGGCGTTGGGTGTCCTGTGCCCCAGCGCCTCACCTTCTGTGCCGGGATCCGTGCAGGTGGGAACTCGCAGCTGCGAGTTTTACTACCTCCTTGTGCTCAGTTTTCTGCCATGGAGGGATTTGATTTCTGTGTACCAAGTATGTGAATTCAGTGCTGCCTAAGTTATTGCAAATTATGAATAGCAATATGTGCAAGATTTCAGTTGCATTGGCTCTGTTACATCTCTAAAGTGTCTGGGGTTTACTTGGTCTGGTACACTGGTCCCACTGCAGCGGGAACAACCTGGGATGCCAATAACATTTTAGTTACTGATTCACAGAACACCAATATATGTTAACATATACTGTCTTGTTATACAGCAATAAAACAAAATGTCATCATCATCACAATCATCCTCGTCTTTACCTGTACTTGACTGTACTTCTCCTTTAGTGGACTTTGATCCTCAGGAAAAGTTTATTCTTCCTCATGCTACTGAGGCAAGTTCATTCTGTTCCTATTAGGCTTGATATTTTAAATTCTATTTACTTTGTTAAAAATATTCAAAATATTCTTCCTGGCTTTAGATGGGAAGTAGGTGATATTTCAGAAAATGGGTGACAGTGCTGGACACAGCAACAGTATACTGAAACCATGTAAAAAATTGTATTTGTTCTTTTCTGCTTACACAGATAATATATGATAAATGAAGCACGATGTTTAATCTTCCAAGATGCTGTTTTCACAGGAAGTAATTAAATTCAAGAACTTAGTTTTGTTTATATAGCCAAGAAAAAGCTACAGAGTTGCACTGTGTTACACAAGTTGAGGTCTGCTGGGAAATGTAAGCCTGTAATAAAACAAGACGTGTGCGTGCACACACACACGTATATATATAAATTAAAAAAAAATTAGATGTTTGGAGTGTACTTATTTGCCTTAAGACAACAGGTGGAAGCAGAGCAGTCTGCATTCTGATTCTGTGAGAAGTGGTCATTTTAGTTGGGAACTCCCCGAATTCTGTTATTCATTTTCTCAACTATGTGAAGGAGAATATGGAGGTAAGAATATAAACCTTTAGTCTGACAAATTGTTTTGATGGAGATGCACCTGGCACAGGCTGAGCACAGGAGAAATGGTGGGTGGAGAAGGCAATGCAATCCACTTCTGAAAAAATAATGAGTACTCAGTGGAGCACTGAGTACACAGACAACTTCGTGCTTGGTGAGAGCATCAGTCGTGCTGGTGTGTGAGGGGAGAGGTAAAAGAGAGATGTTTGGAGAAGGAGTGAGGGTCCTTAATAAGGAAGGGGGTGGGGAATGGGATGCATTTAGGTGGTAGGCCTGATACATGGCTCGGGACTTGCCATGACATGGGCAGCATCATTTTCCTGAGCAGCCCTGCCTGGTGAAGAGCTTTGCCAAACTGTGAAAAGAGGAAAGCCATTGCCACCTCCAAATTGGAAGGTCTGCTGTGAAAAATAACACTGATGTCTGAGCAGGTCTTGGCCTTCACCTTCATTGGAGGTAAACTGTTTGCCTTTGCCTTGTAGATGAGGTGTGTTCTGTGAGCAAACAGTTTGAGGACTTTTAGGAAGTCCTAAATGATTCTTTGACCTTTAAAATTTCTCCTGAAGGATTCTCCTGAAGAGCTGACTTATTTTATGTTGATATGCTTGAATTAACAAGATCAGTGACCTAACTGTAAGTAAACTAAATGTTATGTAATTATGAGGGCCATTTTAGGGAAAAACATATGTACTACTGGGAGAAACAGGAAAACTCTGTTCACTGATTCAGCCATATAAAAAAGGTTATCATAGAACTACAAAAGCCATCCAAGATAAAAAATATTTTACTGATCAAAGCAAAGAATCTGACAGTCTAGAACATCATCTAGGAAAATATGTAAGGCATAAACATAGAATCAATGCAAATGTATGTTTTTTACACAAGTGTGAAAGAAACATTTAGTCTTGTCATTTTCTTTAATAGATGTATTGGGAAGATTTTTTTTGTTTTTTTTGTTATGTCCTGGGCACCAAGAAAGTTCCTAAGAATTTGGAAGGAATTTGGCAAACTATGTATGTTAAAACAGGAGGTGGATCAGATTGAATTTTTATATTTCTATGGAACTCAGTGGAGTGAAGAATGTAGATTTCTTTTAAAATTAAATGTGATTTGTCATTGCTGACTTTCTTAACTCTCTTTCAGAAGCTAATGAAAATGGATGCTTATTCTGAACATTATTTTTTAATTTTGAAGAAAATATTCTTGATTTTCGGGTTTTCATAGACAGTACTAGTTTTCTTACAGCATGAGGCTTTTTGTTGATCATTCAACAAAAAGAAAGTTCATAAAGAACAAAGTGTGGGGAAGACAATTTCCTAAGAATGGAAAGACGGTATGAGTGACTTAGGTTTCTGGTCACTTCTCAATTCTGGGAAGTCTTCTAAGTACTTCCATTTTTGCTGATAAATTACTATACTGTCACAAAACAGCATTTCTGTTTATATATTATTTTTTTTTTTTTGCTGACAGCAAATCTGACTCACTTTAGTCAGGAAAGGTTAGGACTGCTACTGAATACAATATTTATAAGTTTGCAGTACATGCAGAGGTTGAAATCCGGATGCAGAATTGAGGTCCATGGACTGACTTTACAGATAGGCATGGGATTGAGATTACAGAACATTATGAGGAATTACATGCAGGACAGGATAAAAAGAAGGAGTTGTTGTAAAACTTTTGATTCTGAGGCTTCCAGCTTGAGTCAGTTTTTATCCTCCCATTAGTGCAATTGAAATGGAATTTGCAATCTGAAAGTCATACAAGTCTATTTCTTTTAAATGGGAAATTACACAACACACACACACAGTTGGACAATTTAAAACAGCAAGTTTAGTTGACAATATCACAGGCACATAAATTCTTTTGAATTTCTAGTAAGAGCTAATGTAGATTGATTTTTGTGATCTTCCATCCTATACTTTCTGGTTCAGTCTTCAAATTCTCCTATCTAACTGAGGTTCCTGAAAGGCTTTAGTACTTATTATTACTCCTTGAAACATTGCAAGTTCTACAAATACTTTTACCATTTGACTATATGTGCTTAAATAACACTTATTTATGACATTTAAAGCCCTTTTAGCTAAAATTAAGAAAGAAGTAGGTGTATGGAATAAACATAGTTTGTTTCCTTCAGCTACAAAGTTCTATGCACAAAATAAATTGAATCTTAAAGGCTTAAGCTTGTGAATATTCGAGCTTTTATATTCATGTGTACCAAATTTGAAAATCTAGCAAATTATATGTAACCAATTTAAAACGATTGAAAAAATGCTAAATCAGTTATAATCAGAGGTAATTTTTAATGTTTCCTGTGTTGCAGTTAAACAGTGAAATCATTGACACTTTGATACAGAAGCTAAGTGAAAATGAAACTCAAAATACAGTAAGTAAATTAATTTTTTTTTTTTTATTCTATCCCATACATCTGAAATTGGCTACATCACAGGGTCATACTATTTCCAGTAACAGTGGCAAAGTGGGAATATTTGTGGTTTATCGTCACAAAATGGAATCTTAGTTTTACAGCTGAAATGTTCATCAGTATGCTTTATTGCTGCATTATTGTGTACAGACATTAAAACACTTTCTTTGTTCTTTTTTTTTTCCATGAAGAATCTCAGGAAAAAAATACTTGAAAGAGAGAAACAGATTAAAGAACTTTCATCCATGCTTCAGTGTGAAAAAGTGAGTGGTCAGTTCTGTTGGAATGTTTTCTTCCAACATACTAGATTCTTAATTAAAAATTTAAATTTTGAGAAAAGTAATTATTTCAAAGATCTATGAAAAAGTAAAATACTGAAAGATGTTTCCTACAGAAATATCTTAAGACCATCAAGACTGTATCCAATCCTAGTAAGGATACAGGTTATCCTTAACACTAATGTCCCAAGGTTCAGGGAAGGGCACACATCCAGACTAGTGGGGCTTTTGACCTCTCATATACTGATTTGCAATAGTTCTGTAAAAAAAGCACTTATAGGGAAGTATTATGGAGTAAACTAAACAGATGTTGTTCACAGTTAGGCATGTCCTTGTCTTTATCTTGAAGTGAAGGAGTACATTTTCATAGAAACATCCTTTTGCTTGAAAATAGAAAAGCTGAACAGAAAAACCTATAAAGATACTGAAGACCACAATGCCAGCAGACCTCAGTGTTGGTGGGATCTGTGTAGCATGCCTCGGTCTGACTAGAGATCTATCTAATGTTGAACAATTCAGGGTACCCAGCATCTGAAGGGATAAATGATTTTCTATGCTCCTTCTTATGTTATCTTCAATAAACGGTATTTTCATCAATATCTGATTGAGTCTGAGTCTGCCTTTCTTACTGGTATCTATAATGAATACTTGCATGGGAGCATTCAATGCTTTTTTGGTCTATACTGATAATATGACAATTTTCTACCTGATTACTTCTTATTTAGAATGAGCCAAAGGAATCAAGGTGGAAGAAATTTCATAGAATCATCTGACCCGAGTTCTGATGACAAAAGTTGCCTCTTCCATTATGATATATGTAATGCCCCAAAAATTACAGTTTAAATTAAATGTATCAATACTTTTAATAGCAGATGGTGGTCTTTGGAATTTAATGAAGATCAGGTCTAATTAGTCAGAGTACAGTTGATCAGTGTAGCTTAATTTTAGTCATCCTGCTAGCTAGATTTGTGTTCATGCTTCCAGGCCTTATTCATACTACTTAAAGTCAGATTAAATATGAAGCATCAATTATACATACAGTGTTTCAAGTTTGTGATTTCTGATTAATATTAATACTAATAGTAACAAGCTACTGCTTGTAAATATACTTGTAGAGCATGTTTTATCTTTTCCAGCTTTTGAGGACATTCGAACGTCAGTTAGAAAATATGTCAAAGTAGAAACAATATAGAGAGCATCATACAGCATATCTCCATAGGCCAATAGATTTGTGTTTATTTCTCTTCCTTAGATCAATACACAGAAAGGAAACCACCTGTCAAGATCAGTAAAGGAAGTACAAGCTCACCTGCAGTGTCAGATTCAAAGAAAAGAAGCAGAAAATGATGAATTAAAAGTAAAAATACAGGTCAAAAGATTTTTACTTGTGTTCCAGTTTATTGGAAAAAATAGCAAAACTTTATTGTGTTCAGATTTGAAATCAAATTTTTGGTAAAAGAAAAATTCTGAACAGTAAAAATCATACGTATTTATAATTTGCACAGTCTGCCTGACCACATTATCTGAATTGCAAGGGGTTTTTTTGGTTTTATTGTTTTGTGTTTTTTTTTTCTATTCTTTTCTCAACTTGTGCACATAAGCAGTTCTGGCAAAGCAAAGTTTAACAAATGTAGAAGTGTTTGCACTCACTTAACTGTGCCATCTGGAAGACAGGTATTGATCCTGAGACAGTCTCAATATAGTCAAAAGAAAGAGATAGGCAAGTCCTGTTTCTGTTCTAATATAGGGATGATGAACCACACCCTGTTTTCATTGTCTATGAAGGAATCAATAAATCTCTTAATACTAACTGAAAGTGAAACACTTAAGACTAATGCCTAATCTCTCTTTGTTTAAGGTAGGTTAAATTATTTCCATTTTTTATTCTAGAAAGCAAGAGTTAAATTTGGGCATTTGAATCAGTTGCTAGCTTTAGAAAAAGACAAGGAAGAGATCATGTGTGAGAGGCTAGAGCTGTATGTGGCCTCAAATTTCAGTATTTGAAACCTGTCAAGAACATAGGCATGAATGAGAAAACATTGGCTAAAAATAATGTATTTCTAATTTCCAAACTTCTTTTACTACCATATATCCCCTATTAATTGTGTCCTTTGAAGTTATTAAGCAACCTATATCAACTCAATTTCAAGTCACACATGTCTATTTCTGCATAAATACCGCATTTTCTTCTAAATAAAAATTGCTTTCTTGTTCCATCTAATACAATTATAGAATTTCAATGATATTGACATTAAAGTAAAATTCATATACAGCTGTACTTTCATTCAATCTTTATTTAAAGGTTTTGTTTGCTTTCAGAAACTGCTGAAATCGGTGGCTAGCTTTAATCCTGGTGATGATTTTATCAATATCTAGACAAAGCTTGCAAAAGTTTAGCACTACCCTTAGGAATTTATTTCTCAATTTAAATTTACCGCAGTCCCTGACTAATGCCCAAAGCAGTTATTCTTAGTGTGATTGTGACCCCCTGTGGTTATAACAGGGGATAACATTTGTTTACCTATACCTACAGTTAAAAAAATCCATACATAGACTCAGATTTTCTATTTCTGTATTTATTGAGGGTATTCATCTACCACCCCATCAAGTCACATCTTTTTTTATTAGATGCCCTGTAAGCACTTACAGAGGAAAACTACTTCCTTCATATTTGCGGGTTTTTTTATAATTTTATATTTGAAGTAGTACTTCTACTTTTTGGTGAATGCCAGTACCTGAGACCATCTTTTGCCTGGAAAACCACATAGATTTTGCATTGATTGTGTAAAAGTTTCGAGGCCATTAGCAGGACTATACTCAGAAATACCCTCTTGTGCATAATATGCATATTTTATTGCAACTGGCAAAGTGTATCTTGAATAAGGCTGGCACATTAACACAGTCAGTAGCTAAGTAGTAGCTACTGTTCTTGTAGAACATAATTTAGTATCAGACCTAGACTACAATGAAGGAAACAAATGCAGAAATAATTCTTACAATTAGGATATTTATCACTGATTTAAGAAAATTATTTACACTGGTGGAAGAATACAAAGTGATAAGAATGGGATTTACACTTGCCTTTATTAAAGTCATTGTCCACTGGTAGTTTGGTTATTTTCATGTGGATTTGAGATTCTCCTTGAAGCAGCATCTAGTATGGCTTTTATTGTACATCATCATGTAGTGTTCTAACACCCGTTGGTTTTTTTCATTCATATTTATGTGGTATGTAGATGAAAAATACAAAAGTCACGAAGTTAGAGAGGCCAGCTTCCTGAAATGAATGGGATCAGTACACTGCCTTCATCAGAGTGATATAAAAGTTTAGTTAGTCAGAAATAACAGCAATAGAGAAGATAGTATAATGGCAGTTGTAGAACTCAGCTCTCATCTCGACTGCTTTGTACATGTTTGATAATTAAATGCATTAAAATACATTTAATGTGAATGTATTTTATTTCTTGAGTGCTGCAAAATCGAGCACTCAGGAAATGATATTTAGAAGTTGCCCTTAAAATGTGTGATTTACCACTGTGGTTAAGCTTCATCATAGCCTGTTTTAATTATCTTTAAACAACTGTCTGCTGTGGATAAGGCAGTACTAAATCTATTCTTTTTGCATTTTCTGCTTCACTAAGAAATCATTTCTTCACTAAACAAATCTGTTTTATTGATAGAGTGGGGCCATTTTGTGCATGGAAAAAATTCAGAGATCTTGCAAGAAGGTAGTATATTGTCATCTAATCAGAACATATCATAATACATATATTCAAGAAAAGACCCAGCCTATCCTACCTTCTTGACTTTAAAAAAAACTAAATCCAAGATATTAGCTTTCATATTAAAATTTCATATACAGTCATACAGCCTATCTCCAGACCTGTAATGTGTGTGTCACTGTGGATATCAGTGCATATCAGTGGTAGCATCATTAAGGTGATCTTCTTTACAGAAATCAGTCTCTAGGAATGACAAAACAATGTTACTTTCCCACTCATAAATGGGTTTAACATCCATGTCATGCCTTCTACATCGAAATTCTGCTTTCATTTCCAAGAGCACACAACGATGTTTAGATTATCTTTTGCCTTACTCCTTGCTTCTGCACCTTCTCAACCTCTTCTCCAGATCTTTGTAATGAGTTTCCCAATATGTATTTTCTTTTGTCTACTGCTGTATGTATCTCAACTAGCTAATTGTATCAACCACCACATTTGAGATACAAAGATATTGTGGAAACAGATTATATATGTAACTGCTATTCCTGATTATATCACAAAAATATTTGTGGAGTTTAGAATTTGAAGAGTTGATGTCTAGTTCTGTTGCAGAATCTAGAAAAGAAAATAGCAAAGTGGAAACATCAAGTTGGTGAATACAAGCACCAGAAGTCAGCCTTAAAGGAAACAAGTGAACAAAACAAGATTGCTCTGAAAAAAGCAATGAGGTCCCAGAAACAAAGAGCTCAATTCTTTGAAGAAGCTGCAAAAAATTTAACCTCCAAAATAAGAGAACATGTGAGTGACTCTGCAGTAAGCGATGTTGTGCTGTACTGTTTAAACTGAACAACTGGAAGACTTGCACCTGTGGCAAACAGAAAACGTTGTTTGCTCATGCTGTGCTTGTATCTCTTTTATTTTGTTGCTCATTGGTTAAGAAAAGGGTTGCTATAAGTGACATGCAAACTTAGTATTCACTGCCTTTGTTTTGTTAAAATTTAGCGATTGTCTTAAGTCACGAGGTTGTACACTTCAAACTGTAGTAAGTAAGAGGAGTCTCATCAGCTTTTGGTCAAACCTCTCTTGGTCTTCCTGTTAGTCATTTATGGATAAGTACCAACTAATTCAGAACAATATGGGTAGTTTTGTTTATTTTACTTTGAGAAAAGACAAAATTTACATTGCTTTGTACAAGGGAGATTCAATAAAGGCATCTTATATTAAATAGCTCTCGTGTTCAAAAAAATTTGTAGAATTAAATGGTATTCTTCTGTTACATAATTTATGACTTCTACATTCTCTAGGAAGTCAAATTGTGTGAGATATGGTCCACTGCTGATGTCTGGAAAAACCAGCATGATAGAATGCTTGAAGAAAAGACAATGTTAGAAATTCAAACAGAAGATCTTAAGAAGTAAGTTGGACTGTTGATCTATTTTCTTTTTGTTTCTGTAGTCATGTAGTGTTGATATTTATTAGTGCAGTACTCAGTGTTGACAATGTAAATGAGCTTATTAATATTCTAAAATTCTGAGCAGAATTTAGAAGTTGGAAATAAGAACAAATCTAAGATTTTTAGCCTTCTCTCTGCAGCATTTCCCTTCTTTTAAATCTTTATGTTCCTTACTGGTAAAGGGGAATATTCTTTCCCCTGCATACTTCTGATTAGCCTGAACTTGCTAGTAGCTACTATGCTGCCTCTGCATAACCACTGATTTATTAACTGATTCAACAGCTTGAGTGTTAACCCTTGTGTCTACCACAGTATAGAAGAACATTCTTGGGGTTCTAGTTTCTACTTCAGACTGATTATACTAAAATTATTTCAGCTCCACTAATGTCTCACCTCACCAGAGGATAGAGAAGGTTTCCTCTCAGGCGTCCATTTGAACAGTTTATTCATGTAAGGAAAAGCAGCACAAAATTATTAAACCTTATTCAAACTATGCAGCCAAATCTTAATGTACTCATAGGAAGGATATGCAATTTTCTTCGGCAGATAGTGACAAATCTTTTTTTACCTTTTCTGTTACTAGAAATATGGACTATAATTCAAACAAGCCAAAGGAACTGGGAGGTGCCTTTATTCTACGTCTCAGACAATGTTTATTTTACAAAGAACTTGATTCATTCTCAAATATTTAACAGGAGTGCAGGTGCACAACATCAGTCCAGAAATCTCTCTAGCCCACTGTTGGTCCAGTGTATATAATATGGTATCTATGAAAGAACAAGAAAAGTGATGCATTTATGATACTTCTCTCAAATACTCATTCTGCTTCTGGCTGGTTTTTTGCTGGTTTTATTTCAGCTGAAAGTATAAGTCTTTGCTTGAAATGTACCATTCTAACAAGACTTGTTCTACTAAGCAGTGTATGACTGACTAAACAGCAAAACAAATTTTGTTAACTTTATTAACATGAAAAGAAAAAGCGAGGCTGTAAGATCCCAGCCATGGAATGACAAGCTCAACCAGGAGTTTTACTATTAAAAAGCCTTACTATTCATAAGGCTCCAAAAGAACACCCACTGAACTTTTGCAGAGCCTTCAGTTCTTTAACACCTTGAAATAGCACAAAGAGAAAACATTGCACACGTTTTCTCAGGAGACACTTTTACTGATAAATATGGGTGAAAATACGGATCTTGGCAAAAGTTTAAAAGGGGTAACATACAATCAAAACAAAGCATTCCGCCAAAGCTATGAATTGGCACTTGCTAACCCACACAACCTAGCAAAATCCAACCCAGTGCTTTTAAGTTACCCAAAATATTAAGAAAGCAGTAAAGAAAGAAAAAGAGAGAAAAGAGATTAAGAGAAGAATGAGAGAAAAACAGCTACTGTCAGAGTCCTATGGAAGTGGAGCTTCATATGGTGGAGGTTGGCCCCAGGACAGAGAAACAGAAACCATGTACTGCTGTATTTATGTGTTCTGGCCCCTGTGGCCACCCCCTCCCAGGTGGGACTTCCAGCTCACTGGCCACTCTGGGGCTCCAGGCCAGAGTGAGGGGTGGTGTAGCCAGTCAGAGGCTGGGGTAGGGATTCCAGAGGGTGTGGTGTGGGTGTGCTTCCAGACTGACCTTTTGATTGACAGCTGCTCTGGAGCTGCACATGAGGCAGGGTGTTCTACGTAATTAATTCATTTATAATTGAACTAGGACCATTTCCTAGTAGAAATAGAAACTGTCTTCCTTTGGGGAATTTCTTATTTTAGTAGATACTCCTTTCTTTGAATACTTAAATACATTCTCCCCTTTATATATGTATATAAAAAATAAAAGCAATGAAGGAGAATGTGTTGAAGTTCAAGCTGATTTTCATAGTGAGAGTTTTGGAAACATTGTATATTATACAGAAGTTCTTGCCTGTTTAACAAGTCAGATCACAAGCCTGTTGGAAGAATTGGAAAGAAGGAAGGAATGGAGAAGAAACTCAGAGGAGGAAATTCTCAGAAAGCTAAATTCTGGTAACTCTGAAAATGAAAAGATTTACCTTGAAAATGAAAAATTAAAGGTGAGACCATTAGAAATCATTGTTGAATGGCTCTACATTTCTGATACATAATGAACTAACCACGTTAATTCCCTCTGGACGTTCTGTGTAGAGATCCCTAACCTGTAGAATAAATTTTGTCATCCATTTTTTATAGTAAGTGTAAATGAGACATTGAAAATATTTCAGTGGTAATGTATGGCAAAGCAAGGAACAGGGTTGTCTGATGATCCATCTGCATAACAAGGATGCTATTTATTTTACTGTCAGTAGCTACACAATTGCTTAATTAGAAATTGTACTTTTATTCATGTAAGGAAAAGCAGCACAAAGTTATTAAACCTTATACAAACTATGCAGTCAAATCTTAATGTACTCATATGAAGTATGAGTTTGTAAAACTTTCTTTCAAATTAAAGAACTGAGTTTACCTTAATTATTAATTTCAACTTCTAAAGAGTTGACAGGTTTTGCATTGAATTTATCCTCCAAGGTAAATGTTCTTGTTAACTGACAAATGAACTGTGGACTACTGTTTTTGTTTGACAGGATAAATAATGGTGTCACTCTTTCTAATGCCTGCAGGTCACTTGCTAGTAAAATCATATTGTATACTGTTATTTTAATAACACTATTGAAATTTTTATATTTTCTATGTTTTAATCAAGGCTTCCATTGCTACATTGGAGAAAAGTACTGTTTCTGTTGAACATGAGCTGCTACATCTGCAGGAAAAGGCAAAGCTGCAGGAAAATCTCATTGAACAGCATAAAAATGAGGTGACTAGCATGTTTGAAATCTTCAAGTGTGTTTTTTTAAATTTGTTAGCAGTTTCGAGGAAATAATAAAGGTTTTGTTTGTAATAGACCAGATTTGTTGTCATGGTGATTGTATTATTGTTGTAACATTGAGTATGATAGAAGAGAGTGCTATTACAAACCACATCAAAGAGTAATCCCCACACTGTTACTAGTACACATAATCCTTACTGAACTGTGTGAAGCCCAGTGAAAACTCATTTAAGCCAACAGAGCTAATTGCATACTGCTTAGAGAAGATCTGCTTCCTAAAAAACAGGTTAGCAACCTAGTAAACTGTATATTTTAAAAGTTAAGTTTGAATCTGATGTCTTCAGTGGACATATCCAATGATATTTTACCTCTACTGGGTCATATCTTTATCAGTATACCAGTATTCAATTAAGTTCAAGAAATTCAAATTCATTCAATAAATATATATTATGTGAGCCTTTTTTTTAAAATAGGTAAATCCACATTGAAAATACCAGCAAAACAAATAAACTGAACTTAAAATGGGCTTTTTATCAATTCCTTTTTTTTTTCATTTGGCTTTATTCACGGAGAAATATGTATATATTTCAGATATATTTCAAATATATTTCTGCTATTGTATAGACATCATTTCACTGTTATTCTTCATATATTTCTTTTTTAAAATCATCGACAAGGGAAAAGACATGATACAAAATCTAAGTACAGCCAGTGAACCTTGTCTGTGAAATGCATCATCATAATTAAAGTTGTTGCCAGCTTTAAGATGGGAGATGTAGTTCCATGTAACAGCCAGCCTTAAGCAGCGAGTGAAGTGAAATTCCCCCGCTCAGAGCTGTAGTGACTCCAGGTGGAAGTGTTGATGATACTTGTTATTTGAGGAGAGAAATGTGAGTCATGCTGGCTGCTTCTGTAGCACAGCTGTAGCTCATTCTCCATTGTTGATAACACAATATTGACACGACAGTGCTCTTTACCTGATTACCCTTTTATACTCACTGTGGTGAGTAGGATAATGAAAATAAATAACTTCAACTAATGACAAATATTAAGATACTATTTAGAAATCAAAAGTTTTCCTTTACACTTCATACCAATGATTCTATCTTTTCTGCATTTAAAAGAAAGACCTTGCAAATATATGAGAAAAATATATGTTGTCCTAGGTACAAAAGCTACAAATAGCAGCAGAGGAATTGAAATCTAGGTATGAGAGAGTCTTAAATGAAAACAAAAAAATAACAGAAAACAAATGCTTGGAAGAAGATAAGGTAAGTTTTACAGTAATAAAGCATGTTTCCAAACAATTCTGTAGCACACTGATCTTTCCTACATTATTGTAATCCACTTATTAGAAGTCACAAGGTACTATCTCCTGTTTTTAAACAAGAGAGTTTTACTAACTGCTCTCTGGAGCTGGTGGTTTTTTGGATACCACACAATTGTAAATAGGGGAGAAATGTTTCCTGGAGCAGCGACTAAGGAGTTGGGCTGCTATTTCAGAATTCCAGCATTCTTTTATCACTTTCAAAAATGTGATTTGTTGTTGGTGATTTTGAAACTAGACTTCTCAACAGAACAGCTGTGAAAGTTCTGTATGGAAGCAAACCTAGTGTAAGGCTGCTTTTTTTTTTTAGCTGTTAAAACTGAGAATCAATACAGAGGTGAGTTTTAAGTTTTTCGGCCGATGGAGCTAAATACTGGAACACAGTTACTACATTCTTAAACATCTGAAAAAGATACAAAATTGGTATGAAAATCACTTTCTGCAGTTCCATGACTCATAAAAATACATATTCTTTTAAGCAATAAAGCTGAGACAGGGACAGGCTTTGCCTGCAATGTTCTGTTTCAGAGTACAGAATTAGTCCTCACAGAGAAGCATCTTAGGTGTTCATTTTATTTCATACTAACTTTATTTTTCCATGATGGAAATTTAGAATGCAGAAAAATATTTTCTCATCTCACAAATAATATTTACACACCACTGTATGTGGCTTCAGATGCCATGAGGTGCTGCTTTCTTTTCAAATACTGCAATAGTTGTATGGTCAGAATTTTTTATGTAAGAATTTTTTTAGTGTGTCTGTATGCCATCTCCCAAAATGTATTTCTATAAAAATAAAATCCAGGTTTGGGTATTGCATGGTGAACTGCTAAGACTTGCATAATTTGTGAGTGTTACTGAGACTTTAAGGAAATGTAGTCAGAGATGGGAATTTCTCCAATGGTTAACTTGTATCTTTGTCAGTATTTTATAAAACAGGTGATATTATGCAATTTGTGTAGAATTTCAGCTTTATTACTTACATGGAAATCCATAAAGTACTACAACAATAAATTTATGATTTTACACTTACATTTTTCTCCTGTGATGCTACTATGCAGGTGAGGGACAAAATGGAGGCTGAGTTAAAGGAGTTAGAACATGTTTGTGACTTGCTGAAAGCAGCTGAGGAAAAGCAGCAAACACTTATGTTCTGAAAAAGGATCCATGCACAGAAATGCAAAACCCTTAGGAAGCTGCAGGTTCAGGTGGTTAGAACATGCTGATTTTTAAAGATAAATGAGAAAATTATGTGGAAAAAGTCTCTGGGACTTTTTTTCCTGTTAGCATGTGTGACAGTTGTCAGTTTCCTTTGTCATTTGCTTCATAAATCAAAAGATTCTCTGTAGAAATAACACAATGCAAATAAAACTGTTGCCAACTGTATTCATGTGAATTCATTATGTCACAAGAGTAGTTACTTTCAGAGTGAGCATATTCTTGATCTTTTTGAATGCTTATGTCCTGAGATGCATTGAAGAATTCTTCCCTGGAAATAAACGTGCAAATCTAGTTACTGTTTGTGTATAGTGAAATAATTTAATTCTACCTTTGTTTTTAATAACTAATTCATAAACCATACAATATTTAATCTGATAAATTACATTGTTGATGTAGAGTATTTTAACTATTACATTATTTTAGTTAATTAAATATTTTTAAAACATGCTTTAATAGGATAATTTCTATTTTTGGCTGTATTTAACATAATGCTTGTATTTTCTTCAAAGCCTGAGTATGAATTTTCTTCAGCTTTTTTTTTCTGTGACATCAGTTTCAATGGCAGGGTAAGTTTAGGGTTTTTTCTTATTCTCTTTTGTGTGTGGTTTTTTGTTTGTTTTTTTTTAATGAGCTTTTGAGTTAGACAAGGATACTCTGCTAACACAAATAACAAAGGTTTTTGAATCAGTAGGATGGGAAAGGGGCTTAACCTTCTTCCTGTGTCAGTGGGAAAACTTCAGCTGAAGCACAGTGAGCCTCTGTGTTCCTATAGATTTCATATGTTTATAAAAATCATAGCTCTTGATTTTGTTTTAAATTTCATGTCAAGATGATCTTTATAACATCAACTTTGGTTCTTGTTTGCCTCATTTTAAATAATTCTTCCAGGAATGCTCATAAACTTATAAATCCATAATGGCTTAGTGAACTACTTAGGCAACAATGAATTTTGGGGTGCAAAATTAATACATCATGTAAAATGATGTATGTAATTTCAATCTAACTACATTTTCCTGAAAAAGTGCAAAAGAACCTCTTAAGTATAGTGAAGTAATTGGGCATATAATCACTAGTCTGGTGGAACAGTAATTAAATTTCAGCATTAGGTCTCGGTGATGTCCTTTAAAGATTCTGACTCTTGAGCCTATGACCAGAATTTAGGAAAATTCCTTTTGAAGCAATTGCACCATGTACAGAAACACTCTTCTGAGTTTCAGGGGAACTGGTTTCTGCTACTACCAGTCTGCCAGCTGAACAGCCTGTGATTCACACAAACAAAATCAGGCAGAGTAGCTCAAGTTTTTGGATGGAACTGCTTGAGGCAATCCAGTGAATGATGGTGGCTGTCCCTTTAAATAATGGTGCCAGAAGGCTCTTGGTGTGGCTGTTTATTGTTAATCTGCTGTTGATGGGGGGTAGCAAGAACAATAATCTCATCGCTAATGAGATGTTCTGAGATTTAAATGAAAACATGTAAAAAAACTTTAGCCCTCTGCATGCTGGGCAAGGAAAAATAGTTTGACTTCTTGCTTTCTTCACCTTCTGCTGCTTATATACCTCCTTTCATGAACCTGGTTGTCTTTTTTGTAATCACTTCTTTCCAAAATTCTTTGCCTGTGCTACATTGTTTTTCTGCAATAACCATACATATATATGCAGTATTATTTTTATGTTTTCTGTGACTCTAGTGTGAGGGAGCTTTTTTTTTTGCTGGGAGGTAGACCTGACCACAGCCTAATACATAAGGCTGCATGAACAGCATATGAAGTTTTTCAGGACTTCATTTTGTTACATAGCAGGCTTTCAATCTTAACATGTTCACACAAACTTTTAGTCTGCTACTTTGGCTGTACTTTATTTGTTTTAAATACAAGATAATATTTACTTGAATATAATATGGCATTTATCTGAATGTAGTATAACATTTATCTGAAATTTCAGTTAAATTGTTTGATTGGATTTTAATAGGCAAGCTTACTTTAGTCTAGCAAGATCCTGCATATAGGTCTCTTCAACTAGAAACAAATTATCCTTTTCACAGGATGACAATAATGTAACTTCTATGGGCAGTCTTTCCTTAGAAGAAGAGAACTGTAACATTCAGAGGAAATACGAAGCTCTTAAAAGGTAACCTTTAAAAAATCTGATGGAAATTAATTCCTACACTTTTCTGTTATAGTGAATTATAATGAACTAATCTGTTTTGTGTGAAGGCAATTGGGAAAGATGGAATTTCAGAATGAAGAACTTGCTTGTCAGCTCAGAACACAAGATCAGAGTCTTCAGTGCAGTAAATTGAAGCTTGAAGAGAAAATTGCAGAATATAATGCATTAACCAGACAACTTGAATCTGCTTTGGAAAAAGGGAGAAAAATGGTATTGGTGATTTAATACATCTCTCAATCTTGTTTGCCACTTTCTATTTAAAAACAGCATTAAAAATAAATGTGTTTGAGAAAAAATGATGGGACAAGATAATCTTAATCTTGCCTTTTATTTTCTTTGGAATAGGAACCCCACAAGAACTTTGGTATTGAAATCCTTCTCTTTTTAAAGGAAGAATTTGCATGCTTTCAAAATTAAGTTCAGTTTTGTCATTTGTAGAAAGGATGCAAACAGTAAACCAAATGCAAGAGGAAGTGTGGAAATTTACATTGCAGTGAATTATATTAGTTTAGTCAGGAAATATGTATGAAGTTGTAATTTCAGATGAATCATGTTGAAATAAACTATCTGATTTTTTTCAATACTCTCTGAAGATATTTATTTGGTTTTGAAAGAATTACAAGTTTGGCTTAACTTAAAAATGAGTTTAAAACAGGTTCCTCTCCCAGTAATATTGCATTTTTTTTTCAAATCAAAACATCTTTCAAATAACCAGAATATTTCTCAGGTTTATTTAATTTTTGTGCATGGGAAACAAGTAAAGCATTAGATGAAATAGAGCTATTAATGCCATATAAGAAAATAATTTAATTTGGGCTTTAAGAAAGAGTAAATATATATAATTTCTCTCTCATTACTTTTATAGGTAGCTGAAGAACAGGAAAAAATGTCATACAAAGAACAAGCCTTTCAGACAAAACTGCTAGTTCTTGAAACTGAAGTGAGAGAGGGGAAAGAAGAAAAAAAACAACTCCTCTGCATATTTCACCATGTGAGTAAATAATACTGTTTGTGACTTAAGAAATTACTTACCACATCACCATTTACAGAAATTCCTTTAACTGAAAACCCACTACTAATACAATTCATACACTCTTTTCAGAACAGCAAATTAATTCAACTTGACAACATACTTTGTGACATCTCCCATTGACTTAACAGATGTCCATAATAGTTTTGAGATGCTAGGAATCTTTCATGATAAAAATTCAGAAAGTTAGTTTTTATGTTCCAAGGCCTTTTTGGATTACAAAACTATTCAAACATGTTCAGTTTGCTCCTTACTTAACACAAATAAAAGCTTCAATATTTTTAGGTCTTTTTTATCACCTTTGGTTTTGCAGAGCCTCTTAAAACTTTTACAAGTAAGTAAGGCTACAAAATTAAGTACCAGTTGTTTTAGATTATTATTTTGATTAATTTACATTTTATTTCTAAGTTGCTTTGTATTTCTTCTTTTTTACCAGAATGAAAAGCACCATGAAATATGTTTGAAAGAGCTGGAGAACAGCCTGCAGAAGTCAGAGAACAAGAACCAGAGCATCCAGAATTATGTGCAGTTTTTGAAAGCTGCATACATAACAATGTTTGGCTGAACTCTTTAACCTATTTTAAAGTGAAGAAACTTTTCAAGATTTGGCTCTAAGGAAAAGCTGGAAGAAAAGCTTGTTGCGGTCTTATAGTATTTTGCAGGATTGAGTACTCTAATGTTAGTTCTTCCCTAGGAAAATGTCTGTTGTGGGCAGGGAGAAGCAGGTCAGTCATTACTGTATGTCCTACTGGCTGGTCATATAGGAAGTGGACTTGGTATTACTGATATAAACACCTGTACTATTCATGGCACAGAAGTGAAAAGGCAGACTGCACGACAGCAGTGGCAGGAGTGTAAGCGTGGGGTATGCACACAAAGTTCTACATTGGTCTGTGAATTTACTACCTTATGTTAGGTTCTGTGCTGTAAAATCTTACATGTGTCCTTTTAGTCCATAGTAAATGCAGGTGATCACAGGCTATCTTTCAAATCACGTGGAGGAAAAAACACCCATGGACTAGTTGCACAGTAATCTGCATATTTTAAATGTCCGTAATTATATAGTGTTTATCAGTCATTACACTTCTGTTAATGTAGAAACCTAGTTGCCTGAGAAAATGACATCTAACCTATTAAGACAGGCCAAAATTTGGAGCATTATGTTCCCTTCCTTTCTTTTCCTTGTAGTTTAGCACCAATATGTCATGAACTGCTACACTGCACGGGAGAGTTACCACCACAAGGCTGTCCTGTCCAGCCTTTTTTGCCCTACATTCCATAATGCTCAGGAATATACTGAAGTAATATTTTGCAAATATGAGTAGGAAAGCATTTTAAATGCATATATAGTTTAAGCTCTGAATGTGCTGATATACCCTTTCATGGTGACACAGGTCCAGTAAGATATTTAAGTATTTGTGTTTGAGCTCACGAGCTGCAGTTGAGTAAGACTGAATTGTGCCTCAGGTTAAACACATGTAAATATTCAACTGATATAGGGATAATACAGAAACCAGTTCTGATTTTGGTTTTAATTCTAAATTCTACTTGGTTTTATAGATATATGCCGTGATATGTTTTTGGAAAAGTAGTGCATTCAATTAAATATACGTAATTTACAACATCTAATTAATAATTCATATTTTTTGACAGAAAACATAAGTTAGTTTATGCATGGACAATACCTGTTCTATTTCATTTTTAGTTATTCGTAACGTGTTGAACATTGATGTTTTTTCTTTTCTGTCTTTTGCAAAAGCTTATCCATCCTAACAAATACTAATGTACTAATGATCTGCTTGTGTGCACTTTTTAAAAATAAAATTATAATTTATTATATATGACATGCTAGTAAAAAATATTTCTGTTAAATGTGGAGAGGGGGGTTACCTTAAACACATACAGAAATATTTGTATTCATTTAGTTCTGCTTGTGCTACTTATAAAATATCAAAACATTTTTGAAAATCATCATGTATGAAGGAAAGATTTTAGAAATAAATGGTTCAAACCAGTCTATGACTGGTTTTCAAAAGGTCATAATGAAAAACTGAACACTTTTCATTGCTACACGGTACAGCAATGTACAGTAACTTCATTTCAGACTATCTTTTGCTATTCAGGAAATTAGATAGTTTTTTCATTTTTTGTTTGTGCTGTTTGGTTTTTATGGCTCTCCATTACCCTTTTGTTTGTTTGTTTGTTTGTTTGTTTGGGGTTTTTTTGAATGGTAGAAATAGAGCTGCTAGTCACAAAGATCACTAGATTTTTCTCAGTTTCTTTTTGAACTGGTGTTAGCTGATCATGGTGTTTGTATTTTAAAAATCTTTAGCTCATTTAGAGAAAAAAGCTATTGTGATTTATTTCTTTATTCTTTATTTTATTTCTATGAAACTTCTTTTGTAATAATAAAACCTCTTCTAGTTTTATTATTAAAAAATTACAATTTCAGAGCTTTAATTAGGTTAAATTGTAGGCATGTAGAGTCCCGAAACTGTCAGATCTTTAAGAGCTGACCTGGGCTTTCTACTCCCTGCTGCAGTCTGCAATATGCTTTAGATGTGTTAATGCATGGGAACATAGAATTTAAACCAAGAAGCATAAGTCTTAGGGCTACTTGGGACCCTACCCACTTTAATCCTGTCTGCCAAGTAGCTTATTAGTAGCCTAAGATTGATAGAAGAACTTCTTCTTTTCTGTTTCCTATCTATGACACAAAAACTGCTATAAATTCTACTGTAAGATGGAATCTTTCCAGTAGGAGCACAGATACTCAATAATTTTGTGCTTGACATGTGCCAGCTTAAGGGATATCTTTATAGAAGACACACAGTAATCATTGAGCACCATATGAACAAGTCCTCAGTGGAGTGTGATAGGTTACTAGCACACCATGCCTTTTGAGAAGTTCTTTTGTCTATTTAATGGTGAATGAAATCAACACTTGGGTATCTGGGAGAAGTTTAAGGAAGGACTGTTATCATGCAGCTCAAAATGTCTTCTACTACGATCATGTCCAGTGTCCTGACTCAGAAAAGTGCCAGATTAGACTTTTTGTGATAAAATCACTTTGTTGTTCATTTTTCTACAGAATAAGGGACCTGTTTTACTCTGCTGACAAACTGTTCAGCAGCGTAACATCTGTGTGCAGCCCTTAGTGCGCTGAGAGCTGGCCAGCACAAACAGGGATCAAAGCAGGGCCCCATAGGAAAGGGTTGTGCAGGGTGTGAAGTAGACACAATGATTTCATACAGATTTTTTTTTTTGCTTTTTCAGTGAAAGTTTCCTGTGGATCGCTTTAAGGCTGACATAGCTCAAGCATGGTTCTTCAGGCCAGAAAAGTGAGAGCACTGTGTTGATGTCTGCTGATTGGGAATTCAAGCAGTCAAAACCGTGAAATTATTGCAGTCATGCAGGTCAGTCTGTTACCCATTTGGGTTCAGAATATTTTCTGTTCTACTTCTGGCTGAACAGCAATCCCATAGCAGCTCTCAGTAAATAAAGTGTCCAAAAGTTTGAAGGTAGCGTGTCTTTTTACCTTGCCATCCACATCTATCTATCTGTACCCTTCACTCGGGATTTCTGATATAATGCTGTTGGTTTGCAACCTTGGGATAAGGTTTTTTACAGCTAACAGTCCAAAAGCAAATCACCCTAGTCATAAGTGTTCCCTGTCTTCATCCTCCTCTCCCTGCTCCAGGAAATCTCTTTAAAATGCTGAGTTTATTGAGGACATTAATATTGTTTCCAGGAAGTAGCTGACTTTTTTGTTTGAGTGTTTGACATACCAGATCAAATACTTGATTAACATATTATAATGGCAGATTAATCTACTTCATTTAAAAGCAAAAGGGAAAAAGATGTTTTTATGTGTAGAGACTGCTGCAATCTTACCTTTCTCTTGCAGCAGAATAAACATAGCATTTTGTTGGCTGTAAAACGGTACCTTCCAATTTATCAGCAACATAAATATTTCATTTGCTACCCTGCCTTTAGGTGGTGCTACTAAAAATTGAAACCAGGTCTTTCTGGTTAAGCTTTGCATGCCTTTCATCCAATTCAATCTTTCAAACAAATCTTTGATAACATCTAATTTCTAGAGCAGCTGTTACACATCCAACAACCATCTTCTGATCTCCCATCAGTGTTTCAGGCAGGCTGAGCCCTTGTTCATTATCATCGTGACCACATTCCTATTCTTAGCAAAGATTCTCCTTTGCAGAGCAGCAACCTACTCTGCTGTGGCAGCAGTCCACTTACTAATTTACAACTCCACCCACTAAAATGCCACTGTGAATTATAAACTACTGCAGTAAACCATGTATTTTTAACAGCCTCAATTTTACCATCATGGATGTTTATAAACGTCAAAGATATTTCTGAAGTGCAAAAATGCTAAGTTGGCATTTCAGGTTGTCCTCAGGACATTGCCTGTTCCTCCAAAGTAAGGTTTCCTCTTCTTCTCTCTTATTGAGAAAATCAGTATATTAATATGATGCAAAATCCAAACTGTTTTGTATTAACATTTCATTCTCTTTCTAGGGGAAAAAATCTGGAGAAATCTGAAGAAAGAGCCAAACCTAGGAACTTTCAAGCATTTGTGCAAATCCTTTGCCAGAGTGCAAAAAATAAAAAATCAGGGTTTTTCCATTTCAAATAAATTTTCTATTTTTATTAAGTTGTTTTATTAAGATTGTGGTTTAGAAGAAATTTCACATGGATATTTATGAAGAGATATAATCTTACAATGTCTCTACAGATAAAAATGGAGCTCAAGTTCTCTGAGTGTCCAATTATTGTTCTGACGTTTACTGATGTTATTCCAACCCTTAGTAACCCACTGCAGTTATACTCAGGCTCTGACATATTCTGAAGCACATGTGATGCAGAAATAGACATTTAAATATTTCTTCGTATGCTGGTATTTCACGGGAGATTTCCCCAACCAGGAGCATTCAAAGGTGGCAGTCTTGCTGATTTCTCTTTTGGTGTGCACATATAATAATGGAGGGGAAATGTGGTTGTCTTCTGATGACATGTTTCTAGTAGACCCATCATCCAAACATTTGAAACAAAAAGAAGCTCCACAGAGTGAAATAAATCCCAATAACAGAAACAGAAACTCCATGCTGCTGCATAGCAGAAGATATCCTTTGAATCCTGCTAGGGGCTGCTTATTGATGGCATTCTTGACATGGTTCCAAACTCCCAAACTTAGTGTTTAAGCAACTCACATCTGCTAGGGGTACTGGGAACAGTGGTATCAGCTTCAGTTCCTGCTTTTTGTAAAATGCTGCTTGCTAGGTTTCAGCTCTTCTGGCCTCGATTACCAAACTAAAGTCTGGAAATAGGAAAAGTTTTATACAATTAGTCTTGTTTCTTTCTAGTAATCTAATCATTTCTCAGTATAATTTCTCATTATATCTGGCTTAGAATGGTGAATGTCAAGTTTTTAATTTCTCTTCTGTCTTCTCACTGTTTTTAATGAACTACAATTCTGTGTTAAAATAGGAACTTTGTTCCGTCCGTCCACTTCTGCCCATTTTGGAGCACTTTTCAGCATCTCATAATGAAAAATTGTGTCTCTTTCTGTGAAGGTGTCTTTTGAACAGTCAAACAAAGTAGAAAATTTTCAAGTGCCCAAGCATGATTTCTCACAATCCCTCTAAGCATCCTATCTTATTGTGCTTTTTGGCAAACTCTCTTTACTTGGTTCAATCACACTCCACAGTTTCAAAAGGACACCTTGGTGATGTGCTTGTCCTTTCTTTGAACAACATTGCAACTCTTTAAGTAACTTCTTTCCTTCAAACTTTTTTCCAGGCAGAAACAAACATAGCTTTTTATAATTTTCTAAAACCTATTTTGGAAGTCAGATCATAATTATGTTGGAGATACATTTGCACGCATTAGAGTCTAATGCCTGAGTTTTCTATTCACTGCAGCTGCAACAGTCCAAGTGAAGACGTAATTTAGCCCCAAGACTTGTTACTCATTTCCATTTTGTCTTTGCTTTGCATCTTGGTATTTACTTCAGCTGTGGAAGTTTCAGAAACTCCAGATGATGTACTTCATGAGGATTATACAACTCAACAGTGAAGACTTTGTTTTGAATAACCATTTCATTTTCTTCAAAAATGGCACATTGCAGTGACAGCTGTAATTTGACCAATCAAGTACCAGAAACATGGCAATCATGCCAAAAAGGTGTCAGCGTGAACTCAGTAATTATTCTCTGGTGATAATTTTCCTATTTACCTCTAGCACAAGTAGCCCAAATTTTACAGGAAGATTACAATAGCAACTGCCCCCCCTCAAACTGTTCTCTACCAATCTCCTTACTTATTCAGAAACATTCTAAATTTACTAGTTTTTCCTTTTTTTTTGGCAAAAACTTATGTTTTGAAGTCTTATTAGTCTCACAGTATCATTTACTCAAATAGGGGAAAAGGGTGCTTTATGGTAACTATTACCTCCTGGATAAATATCGGTTTCTGGTAGTGAATCTCATACTTCATTTTGCATGTCAGACTTCACTTCCAAAATATGGAGATGCATCTGAGAACTGTACACTACATGTGGTTAAATTATTTAAAGGTATGTTCAAGGTTGCCAGATTTGATTCCAGATTTTAGTGATTTGACATCCACTTTGATCTAGGATGATATAAATTGAGTACTTCCAACAGGAGATCAAAATGAACACTCGTATACATTGGCAAAGTCGTGTGAAAGAGCACGTGGATTACAGATATCCTTCCAAGATGAATGCCCAACCACTATGTTTTGGATGGATGGCTAGATGTGAAATGGATAGTTTTAGGTGCAATATCTGGCTGCACTGTCAAGTTGCTCCGAGAATGAGATTATTTCTTTTTTGATAGATGAGGCTTCTGGTGGGCCATGCGAGATGCAATCAGACTTTCTGCATTACCTTACCATTTTATGTATTTGATTAGCCATGCAGAAGCTTAAGTTCTTGAATGTAAAAATCTGGAATTAATTATCCTTGCTTAACATTTATCACACTGGAACGGATTAATCGTCCTTTGAACTAGATTGTTTCCATACCAATACATTACTCAAGATCAACTTGGGCTTATCAAAACTTTATTAAATAAAAAGCCATAGGCCAATTAAAGAGGCTTTCTGGGTCACTACCAGTCTCAGATATTTCCTTCAAAGCAATAAAATGCTATCAGTACACTGCTCTGTTTATTCTGCCTCTTCAATGGCTTTTGATGGTGTCCTGGTTGTTCACTGAAGGTGCTCCCAGCCACTGCAGCAGAGAGTGTGTTTCCAGTGCTTAGAGATGGAGGCACACATGGTGACAATTTTCAGTCCAACATTTGTATAAGAAATGTGTGGGCATATAACACATTCCAGGCATGCACACAAGCTTGCAAAAAAAGGGAGTTGTGAGCAAAGTGAGAGTGTGAATGTTCATGGTTGAAGCTATTGTGCCCTCATGTCGAAATATGCTCCTTTTGTCCAGCATGTCTGCTATTCCTGGATAAATGAAATAGGACTCTCATACAGGAATACCTTAGAATGCTTGGTTTCATTCCTCAACTTCCTCTCGCTTTCTTTTTTAAAAATAGTGTTTGTGCACTGTTTCATGGGAAAAGAAACTCCATGGGAACTTCGGTATCTTTATTTTGAGGTTCTACGCAAGTTCTTCCACACATCCTCAGACATGTTGCTGTTCTTAGTTGAGAAGAAACAAAGACAAAAAGTAAGTTTTAATTCACACAATGTGTTATACTAAATGAAGCAACTCCTATTTCTATGCTCAGTCTCTATCTAATTCATTTTTTGATATTATAATAGTACCTTTTAGAGTCAGTGGTCAGAGTTTTTTTAAAACTCCATAGAAATTTTGCCAGTGATATCAGCATGGCCAGGAGTATATCATATACTTTTTTTACTCACTGTATGCAAAGTAAAATCTGAAGCTGGGACTTTGTTTTATTTAGAACTATAGACAATTGTGAATCTATTCAATCTGGCCATAAACAGTGGGGTTGTACCACTTTACCAGGTGACCTTGTTCAGTGATCCTTAGCTTACCCACTTCAAAATGTCTATATTATGGCTCACAGAGCCCATGGGACAAAATAACTTCCATGCATTAAGCCACTTAAATCTGTCCAGCATGAGAAATTTTACCCTACATAATTCAGCGCCTGAATTTGGCAATTTCAATGACATATTGTACCACAAATCATGTCCTAATAATGTGAAATTCATGGTGTAAGGCACCTGGTAACCATCTGACAGTGTCAAGGCATTTGATATTAATTTTAGAGCTCTTACTGTTCCACTGTGTAAAATTTAGTATTACGATCTTCATATTTAATGTGCATATGTGCTGGCAAATACAAAATTTATATTTGGACTGCACACCTGTCTGCGGTTGACTATTGACTATGGTTGTATTTTTGAAATTAGAAACAACAGACTTAGTGTTCCTATGAACGCCTCTCAGAAGAACAGATTGCTGACAGCTGTTTTATTCTCTAGGTACTAAAGCATTAAAAGAAGCTATATTTGGATTCCTTTAAATAAATAATCAGGGGGGTTGTAGTTCTTAACCTTAAACTCCAAATAATAAGTTGAGGTTGACTCTTTGGAACATTTGTTCAAGAGAAAGGATGTTGAATAGCCTTTCAATTATATTGCCCTCATTAGCTGAAACCCTTCTTCTTATAGAGTATATTGATCTTATAAAAGAAAGAAGGTAATGATTGAAATTAGTAAAATCAGGTGAAAGTTTTAGTCATGTGTCAAACCATAAAACTTTATGTAAAGCACCCAGAAAGTCTCAGATTCATGGGCAATACCCTGGAAGAAATTACCTTTTTTTATTCTACTTTATTGTTCCTAAATACTGACCGTACATCAGACTTTGCTAATTTGCTTCTATTTGCTTTGAGACTATCTATGGTTCATATGTTGGACAAAGAAACTCTTGTAAAATTGTGCTTGCAGTGAACAGACTCTAATTTTTGTAAAATTGCATCTAATGCACGTTTCAATGTTAGTAGCTCAGGCATATGTCATCTCCTGTGTTTTTCCTACTAGGGCATCAAATTGGAAAAAAAGGGACTACAGGGATGCAAAAAGAACAGAAAATCCTGCAGAGGACCAAATGCCCACTTGTCAAACAACTGAAGTAGGTCCAGTAAAAGTGCTGGTGAGAAATATGAACACTCGTATTCCTAGTGAACTCTGTTTCACCCTTGAGAAACTGTCCTGTCCCACCAAAGACATATTCTGTGTCCCAGGCACAGCCAGCCATGGTAAACAAAAAACCCCAAGTCTTTCTTCCTGCCTTGAGGATCACGTAGATCTGGAACAATCTGAGCAGCCCTTTGCTTTTATTTGGCACAGGATATTCTGTCCCTTGCATCATCAGTGGTGGTTGGGAAGTTTTCCTCAAGGAAGGACAGTTTGCTTGAATCTGAAAAGCTTCTTTGCCTTCCTCATAGTTTCAAATAGACTTTCAGAGCTGGAGAGCTTGTGAAGCAGAGTAAACCAGACAAAGCGGATGTATCCCTGTGCTGTTTTGTTGACAAGGAGTTCATTGCAGTCAGTAAGGCCAGGAATCAGCCTCAAAAATAAATACTGGATACAAAATCAGCCCTCAAAAATAAATACACCTGGCTAAACCTAGAACCTTGGTTTCTTTCTTCCCGTCCCCAGGAAAACCCAAATTTTGAGGAATTTTTACATTTTTCAATCACAGCCATGTGTTAGGCCCTCAGTGGAAATGTAATGCACATACACAAGATCCAGTTTATACCTTGGCAAATGTTGGTATAACTTTTCTTTTAAAAAAAATATTGTCATTCAATACAACCTTGGGAATGATTTCTATGCTCTCTTCAGCTGTGTGCTTGTGCCAGTACTCTTCAAACTGTCCAAAAGCAGAAATACAGCAGACTAGGAATGAACCTACGTCCCTGTGGCTGCTTGTTTGTAACTCTCATGCCTGAATGTTTTATTTGTCATGGAATTGCTCATTAAAGCTACTGCTTTCTACACAGCTCAAAGGTCTGCCTCATCCATAGTCATTTGCTCCTGAATCCCCAACTCCTTTCTGCAGGCAGCCTTTGCAGAGATGTTTGATTGAAAATACAGTCAATGATGGGCTTTTGTTGCTACCCCCAGCCAGTAGAGGCATATCCTTGGTCCTTTGGCTATCAACTAGGGACAGCTCCATATTAGATGAAACTTGCATCTTTTTAAATGTCTCCAACGTCTTATTTCCTATTTTATTTCTGGCATTCCATAGTAAAATGCTGAATTTTATTTCCATCAGCAGTAATGGTGCTCCAAGAACAGACTAAACATTTTTGTGACTGTGTATGATTACTATACTTGCTAGTTTTATTCATGGATGCACTCTTGCAGGAATTACCATAACCAATAACCATATCTGACTGAATGATCTACATTTAATCAAGTAATGACAACTAATTTCTGTCTAGTGTTAGCTTTGAACTTCCATCAGTCTATAAAACATAATGAAGCATTTGTGATCTCATTCTGATGGGGAGAAACTCCAGATCAAAAGAAACTCTTTTATGTTTCCTTCACTTTACTATTTACAGTTTTATTTCTATAGGCTGTGGCCCACCAGATGAGGATGCTTAATTAACAGTTAGTGAGCTGTTTTAATTTCAGTGAAATCGTGAAACAGCTTACTTCAAAGATGCCAGATGTATTATGTTTACAGCCAAATTAGCACCTTTGATCTATTTTTAGTGAAGATCCTCAAAAAATGTATGTACACTTGCTAGAGACTTAAGAATAGGCTGAGATAAAATTAAAAGGAGTGACAGTTATCAAGTTTGCTTCTGCACTCTGCTTTGAGCCAAGCCCCATTGACTCCATTTTACCGGAGAGTGAAGGTGCTCTTTCTTGCCTACTGACTATGGTCAGTGATACTTGAACAAAGCAATATCATTCCTAACAGCCTCCTATTTCTTTCTGAGTGAGAATGGTGCAGAGGAAGCAGGCTCCGCACATAGACAAGATATATAAACAGCAACAGCAAGTTCAGGAAAAGTGTAAACAGAAACATCAAATGGAACATTGTAAGTCTGGCCATTACAAGCGCCACTTCTTTACTCACTGGATGAAAAACCATCACCAGGTAAAATGTAAGACAGTCAGAGCTATATAGAAATTTTTTCCATTGAGTGGAATTGATCCAGTGATCAACACTCCCCATGGGAGTAGCCTGAAAACCACTTTAGAAAAGTAGCAGAATATTGCCATGTTTATTTGTTCTGAATTGTACACCTAATTTATTCACTGTTGACTTTTCAAAGCTAATTGCTACCCTGTTATTCCCTCCAGTTAATCAAAGGCTCAGCTTCCCTCTTATTCATCTATGATTTTGAAAACATACTACTAGATTACTATCAAAAATTCAACTGGTGTAAAAACTAGAAGTCACTCACTTCCCCCAGTTATTTATGCTGCATGGGTACTGCTTGAAAACACAGTAACTAATAGAAAGGGCCAGCAGAAATACACCCCTGTCAGTGAAGGAAAAGACTTCCCTCCTTCTCAGATAACTTCAGATAACTTCTCACAAAAAGGATTTTGAATTATTTGCTGTATTGCAGGAGTGAAATCTCACTCAGAAATGCAAGAAAAGCAGTTTCTTGGTCAATCTGACATTTATGTCATTCCAGATGTTTTTTTCCCTAGCCCTTTCTGGCTTACTCCCTGATTTTCCACTGTATGTCAAAATATCGACACTGAGTCCCCTCAAGGAGGCCAGAAGGAATCTAAGAGCCCTTCTGCGGTGACTGACAGTTTTAGCCCTTCACCTTAGACTGTTTGTGACAGTTTATGCTCACTAATGTACTACTGCTGCTGCAGCTTCAGTAGGATTAATAACACAAAGCTTGCTGCTTCTTACTAAAAGACTCACTCCAGAGTGTCCCAGGCTATCTGCTAGAAACAATCTCCAAAGGAGGTTTTCTCCCAAGATTTCTCCCAGAAAACCAATTGTTTGCATGCTCCATTCTATCAGATCAGGTTTCAGTAACTCAGGCTCATCAGCTGCAACTTTTCTCTATTGCCAGAGACCAGATAAAAAATTCAAGGGACATGTTACTCGGTTACAGATTGCTACAGGACAATCCCAGCTGTGATGAACAGCTATGATACACAGGAAGGCATAGAGCTAGAAAGTTGCTTGTGCTCCTCATCTAATAAAAATGTTTTGCAGGGAAAACTGTAAATAAGAGAGCATATGGCACAAACTATACCATAAGTGCTAAACAAATCTTAAATTGTAAACATCCTCTTGGGTTAGAGCTATTTAGCAACTTTCTGCTGTCTCTGGCATAAGCTGGTGGCTCCAGTAAATGTTATTTTACTAAGAGAGTTTGTTTTGTTTAGAAGATTTATGTAAGAAAAGTGACTCGGTTACTGTGAGAGGTTCCTTGGCAGTGGCATTTCTTGAATGTCCCCATGTGCAGGAGGAACAGTCTCTGTCCCAAAAGGCTTCAGGGAAATGGGTGCTTATGTGACAGCAGAAGATGCTTCAGCTCCAGCTCTGCTGGAAATAGTTAGCAGGAACTTGTCTTCAAGATGGAACGCATCTGTGAGTCAAATATGACTTTCTATGGACATGGATTCTGTCCTCCTGTGCAGAAGAACCTTTCTCAAATCTTTTAAGCTTTTGCCAATTAACTGCAAATCTTATTTCTAACATATGTGGAGTTCCCAGATGGACTCAGTCAAATAAAGGCACTCTGAGAGTGTTTTTGGAGTACTCTTGATGGATTAAGTGTATCCTATGGGAAGCAGGATCATTACCTGCACTGGGAATTATATCTAAATACATTAAATTTTCAGCAAAATTATAATTAAAATTTCTATGCTCAGGGAACCTTTATCTGTGGAATCTTTTCAGATCATTTGATATTAGCAGCATCTCTCTAATAAACAACATAAACCAGCTCCTGTTGATGTTCTCACTGACTTGAATGATTTAATTTTATGTTTAGAGCACTTTCTTCTTTTTTAAACTATTACCTTTAGTGAATAAAAATTTCATGCATGGCAAAATATCTCTGTATAATGTTCTGAAAATAAAAGACACTTGCTCCCTTGAGAAAAAAAACTTTAGAGCAGAAGGAATCCCTTTAAGAGTTTTGTAGCCTGTAAAAATAGAAAGAAATCCATGAAGTGGAAGAAAAAGTAGTGTGAAAAAAACCTTATTAAAAAATCCCTTAAATCTTTAGATACTTAAAAACATGGTCCTTCAACAGACATTAATAACCGTAAATGTGCTGAGTCCTCTGTTATGGAGTACAAAGAGATAGTAAATAATTAAAAAGAAATGTAAGACTATGAGAAAAAAAATGAAAATTTCACATAGTTCATAGTATTCATTAATAATTACTGACAGAATGGTGTATGACATTACCATGAGAATCTTGTCAAGGCAAGACTGCGATCTATTCTTCACTTTGGTTCAAATGTTCATATCACTTCTGTCTTCTGTAGTTGACTTTTTTAATTTACTGGTGCTTTAGTTCTAGGAGGTTGAATCTCAAAAGCCACAACCTGCAGTGAAATACATCCTGGGGGTATCATACTTAGAACAGATGCTCTCAAGTCCTTGGTGGTGAAATCCTAAGAGGGAGGTCCACCCTTGACCATGTCTGGACACAGAGCTGCTTCCTCAGGGCCCCATGACTGGGAGCCACCAATTGGTACCAACCAGTGCAAAAGCATCCTTAGAAGCAGCTGGAGATGTAAAGGCAGGCTCTGACACAGCTTTTCGCTCTCTGACAGGAGTTCATCCCCTCTTACACACATCTGGTGTGTATTTATGTGCTCTAGAATGTGGAAAAATAAAAGTTAAACATATGGACTTAACCCATTTCACCTAAAGAGGTGAAAAGTAGGTGTTTAGGTATTATCAGGTCTGTAGCTGGCAGTCATATAGACACTGTGTAAATCTCCCTGCAGCGGAGGCAGCTGGCCTCATTCGTGTTCTTTCAATGCACAAGTGCGAAAAGGTCCAGGAAAAAGCCTGGGCACAGCTTCTTACACGCAGTGTGTGTTTCAGGCTTTGCTGGGCGCTGCACAGTGTGCTGTCAGTTCAGGAATCGCCTCAGTAAATTGCGCTTTGAGTAATGTCACCTTTAGTGAGACAAACTTGGGTTGTCAACCAATTGTCCTATTTTAGCCCCAGACCTGGTTTATCTAAGCAATCCCAGGACTGGAAGATGTAGCAGGACATTTTTTTGTTGTCATTCGGTGCATCAAAGTGTACTAAGTTTAGGAAAAGCATTTTTGATTTTTATGGGTCCCAGAAAGCCACCAGTATCATAACATATATCATATTGGAAGATACTGTGATGATGCCCAACACTGGATACAATTCTGAAGCTACTTTGGAAGGTGACACTTACGATGACCCATGCTCACCATTGGTACAGGGCCTATCTGTGCTGTGGACTGACACTGAGCTGCGTCTGCTTACAGCAGTGTATTTATCCATCTGTCTAAATCACTGGTTTATTATCAGTGGTTGATTCTACTCTAAGAGGTGCTTAAAGGCAGACGGTTTTACTTCATAAATCACTTTAGCATAAAGATGGATGTGCTTTATACAGAGGTGGAGTTTGTGCCTTCTTTTC